CGCTGTGGGGCTGTGGGCTGGGGGACAACTCCGTCCTGGGCTCAGAGACGCTGGGGGCGGGTGCGGCGGTGCGGGCAAGGGGGCGCTTGTGAGCACCTCGCTTCCAGCTGCCCCTGGCCGGGAGAGGGAGGCCCAGTGTCCGGCAGAGCCCCGTGACGGATCCCTGACACGTGTAGGCACGTCCAGCTTATCTGGGGAGGGGGTGGGGTGGACACCGAATCGGCAGCCCCAGAAAGTCGCAAGAGTTTGGCAATTCAAGGCTGGCATCTCCAGAGGGGAGGCCGAGGGTCGGGGGGAGAGGGGGCGCACGGGGATTTGGTCACAGATATTCATAGGTTTTGGGGAGAGTTGAAGAGGCCGCTCTCAGGCAGTGTCTGGTATGTGCAGCATGGCCGTCCATGAGGGTGCGGGGACCCCCAGGAGACCCGGGGACAGGGAGGGGATGCAGGGGCACGAGGGGGCAGCACAGGGGCACTCGAGTGGGGGACAGTTTCATATGAAGGAGCAGGGTCAGGGACCCATCTGCTATCACAGGTGTTGTCCACACGGCTGCACTTTCAGCCTCGAGGTCATCGGTCAATTAATTGGTCAATTTGATAAAGAGACAAGGGCGGAGGGCAAATCCGGCCCTGAGCAGATCTGGGGCGGGGGCGGGGGTGGGTCTGAGTTGCTGAGTCTGCCCACCTTGCTTCATACTGGCAACTGGATAAAAGCAATCTCTGCTTTGCCGAGCGACATTCTACCCGCTGATCCAAGTACCCATCATCCTTCTCAACACGTCTGTCGCCTGTCTGTTTTTCCCACATTGTTTATAGCCGCAGCCCAGCGCCGGGCACCCTGGCAGCTACTACAAGCTCTTGTGTGTTCCATGGCTAGGCGGCTCCCCAGGCAAGAGCATGGGGGTCTCTTTCTGTCCCCTCGGGTCCCCAGAGCAAGCTAGCCCAGCTGTCGGCCTTTCTCTTACCATCCAAATCACTTATTCCTCGCTGGACCATTTGCTCAACTCCTGGAGTCGTGAGGAGTTATCATGCGAGCTGACTTCTAAACCATTCTGTTAGGCGTCTTATAGTATCTTGGCAGCAATGGCCAAAGTTGCCATGGTGATTATGCCGATGACAAACCTCTCCTGTCAGCCCCTACCCAAGGCTGCCCTTGCCCTGGGGGTCGGTGGGGACATTCCTCAGAGGCGGGTGGTCCCTGCTGCCCTGGGGTGTCAGGACACTCACTTGCATCCTGAGAAGGGAATATGACAGCCGTGTGTCCTCAGGCTGCCCGGCTTTGGGGGCAAAAGAGAAAAAGCAGCGCATACCTTTCTCACCAGCTGGGCGAAGTCCGCGGAGTCCCGGGGCGGCAGCCCTAGCAGCGGCCGAGTGCAGGAGTCCAGCGCCGAGCCGTGGCCCACGACCAGGATGACGCCTGCTACGGAAGAAGGAACAGCTCAAGGTCTCGCAGGGGCAGAGCGCGGCTTCTATGAGACCAAGGGTCCCCAAAGTTGTTGGGGCGAAACCACCTCATGGTGCCCCAAACCCCCGACCGTCCCCGGGGTCGGAAGTAGGTGTGGTTGGTGGCGGCTCCTAACACTCGCGATCTGGCCTCCCGCTGCGTGCGGTTCTGCAGCGTGCATGGTGCCCGCAGGCGAGCGGGGGCGCCTGGCCTGGAGCTCGGGGGTGGGACCTTGCAGTGATCTGAGCCACCAGTTGTCATCTAGGACAAGGTGGTGGCTGCCTCCTAGCTCCGATCGGATTAGCTTGACGATTATCAGCCCGTTGATCGCAATGAGCCTGCTGATGACTCGCTTTGGATCAGGACATCCAGAGTCTGCAGGCTGAGGGAGGCTCCCTCAGGTGACAGGCGGAGGGGGCCTGGGCCAGACTCCCCGGCTATGCCTGGAGGACGAGCAGAGCGGTCCTTCAGGCCACCTCCCTGTTAATGCTGTACTTGTATCGTTGGCCTCCGAACCTGCAGTCAGTGGTTAGGACGCTGCTCTGGGCTGGAGATCCCGGTTTGACTCTGGGCCGCGTTCTCTAGCAGGGCGATGTGGGCTCGCAGGCTTTGGAGCCCCCGGTGCCACTGGGGGTGATGTTTCAGACCCCACAGGGGCGAGGCGGTACCAGGTAACGTCTTTGAAGGGCCCACCTGTGCCCAGGGGTCGCCCGCGCTGGCTTCTCCCCTCCGGGCCTGCTGGAGCTGTCCTGCCCCCTCCCTCGCCCAGGCCCCCGCCTTGCTCCTGCGTCCTCCCCGGGGGGCGGACCTCCGCCTTCACGCTCAGCGCTGCGTCCAGGAGCCTCGGCCGCTCGCCATAGGCTCGGACAGATGAGCCGTGTTCTCTGGGGACACCGACATTCAGCCGGGGGTGGAGGCTTGACTGGGGACGTCGGGGGCGGGCAAAGGGCAGAGGTAGGCTTATTTCATTTTCTGTCCTCCGATGTCCAGTGGTCATAACAGTGGGTAACACGAGCTTGATAAGTAATTAAATGCCACTAAAATGTGGCTTCCAAAATTCTGTTCCCAGGGTGCCGATCAGTGAGATCCGGCCGTAGGGCCGGGTGTGTCTGGGGTGTGGGGTGCCGCGAGGGTTGGGGTCTCTTCCTGCAGGGGTCTCGCAGCGTGTCCCCATCGGTGCACTGGGGACTCCTCGGGAAGGGAGCAGGTGCTCAGCTCCTCCCCGCATCCCTGGTCCGCGGGGTCCTCCTTCTCCGAGTGTCTTGGGGACGAGGGAAGGATAGGACAAGTGGGGAGCAGTGGGCCGGGGGCCCCCACCGACTCCGCCTGAGACTCTTCTTCCTGTTATTTAACTTTCCTCGTAGCCCGGATGTTTGGGCCCCTCAGCAAACCCAGCTCCTGGCGGGCGGGGCGTGTGTCTCCTTCACGGAGATCCCGTGGCGTTTCGTTTGGTCCCTGACACATTGCTGATGTCAACACGCACTTGCGGACCTGGACTTTTACAGGACTGGCTTCTCACTGTTCACTATGGATATTTCAGATACACCCCGAGAAGGGTCTGGTGACGCCCCACGTGCCCGCCGCGGAGCTCCGACCGTCGCCCCTCCCTGACCGCTCTTACCCCACCCCTCCCCCCGCACGTTATTTTACAGTGAGCCGCACACCGCACACCTCCCGCCATCCCGCAGAACAGACCTCGGTTTGCATCCAAACGGAAGGGCTTTTCGCCCTTACGGAGCCAGCCCGCCATCGTCACACCCCGCCCGCCATCGTCACACCCCGCCCAGTTCGCCAAGCTTCCTCAGTATTTTCCTGTTCCGTCCGGTTCCATATTTAAATTCCTCTCTGCACATGTTTTGTTCCCATTGTCGTTCAGACGCGACCCGACATCTGATTGGTCGGTCCGGTCTCTTTGTTTCTAGGACTCTGGCGTGGGGTCGACCCTGCTGGACTGGGTCCCCCTGGCTCTCGGTCCCAGAATGGGGGTAACACGAGTGAATGGAACAGCCGCGTGGCAGGGAGTCTGTGTCTCTGCCCCGTCACCGCAGAGGCGGCTGCGTAACCCTCGCTCTGCCGCTGGGCAGGGGGAGGTGGGGGTGTTACCGGGCTCAGAAAATGATCCGGTGTGCATCCCACAGGTGAGCCGCCGCCCGCGGGGGCCGCTCGCACCCGAGCGCACTTACCGTCCTGTGGGCAGCTGCTGACCATGTGCCACACGCTCACTGCGCACCTGTCCACATATTCGCTGTAGCTCTCGGCTGGCATGAGGGAGGCAGAGGGGAACGCGGGCCTGAGGGGAGAGGGGGGACAGCTGCCACTCTGCGTGGTGGGGGCCAGGACGGCGCTGTGCTCAGCCGGAGAAGGTGAGGTCTCCGAGGTGGCTCTGCTCAGGCGGGGCTCGCGGTCAGCCATGAGGCTCCCGCTCTGTGCTCAAAACCGGCAGAGGGCTGACGTCCCGTCTCCCGCGTGCGTTCCCAGTGAACGCCAGACGGGTTTTGCGATGGCAGAGAGTCAGCCGTGGGCAGAGAATGACAGACTCTTTCCTTGACCAAGCCTAGCGAGGTCCCCTGAGCCCTCTTCTTGATAGATCCCAAACTTTGGGCTTCAGCGTCCATCCTGGTAGAGCCAGGTTTAGCAGGCATCCTGCTACGTCAGTTTGGCCAGAATCCCCCACCTGGATCCTTCCTGAAAGCTGAGCAGTCTGTGTGCCCCCTCCCCCCAGGGGGCATCTGCTCACCCTGGCCTGCCTTTACCCAGAGTCTTGCTGGGTCAGTTTAGCAAGAATGACCCCACTCTCTGGAATTTTCCATCCACCAACCCTGCACCCCGCACCCTCGGCTACACATCCCCCCGCGTCCTTATCATATTCGAGTGAGTCCCATCTCCCAGACTACTGCGAACCCCACTGCAGTGGACCCCCTTGCGTGACGGCTCCCTTCCGCCTTTCACGAGAACGTCGAGCCCCCGGCCGCGGACGGGGTGAATGGCGCACCTGTAATCCGTGCTGACGTTGACGTTGGCCTCCTTCAGCTCTTCCAGCGTCATGAGGGTCGGGGTGGTCCTGCCAGCCTCCCACTTGGTCCATTCGAAGATGCCGGGTTCCACTCTTATCTTCATTTTTTTCTCCAGTTTGAGCTCTGCACTCAGAATGTAAGTGTTTATCGTGTTCAGTGTTCATTTTGGCTTTATGTAAATGGATCTCTTCCCAGGTCTAAATAATACCTTTCCAAAATGCGATTTTTTTTCTTAGCAAATATTGTTTTGTGATCACTCTCCGCTGTGCTGTTTCTTGGATAAAAACCACCAGCTAGCTGGAAGGTGTCAGAGGAGTGACGACCCTCTGTCCAGCAGGACGGGACAGAGTCTCCCGGGAGCGGGGAGGTGCCACCGGCCTCAGGCTCAGCCTGGTGCCACTCCACAGCTAGACCAACACCAGGCCTTGTCCGTGGGTCGAGACTGAGAGCCACCAACAGACTTTTGGCCAATCCGATGACCCACAGAAAAGATGTGGCCAGTCTAGGAGCCCGTCAGTCACATGGACGTGCTCTCCCGACAAACAGTTATCCTCCTCGAAAGCTTAGAACAAACACAGCCACGAGGGGCTTCTTTCCCCAGCTACTGGGGACCCTGCCTTCATGGCGCTGTCCCCACGGTCCTCTGGCAAAGGCGATACCGAGGGACCACGTCTCACTTCTTACCCCTTCCCGAATGGGGGACGCGCTGATCCGATACAAAAATAGGGAGTCTGACTCACGGGGCCACGTTTCCTGTCAGAGCGTCCCCCGCAGGAACGGGGGCAGGAGGAGACACGGAGCCGGCGGCGGTGGCCACGGCGCGTGTGCTGGGCTGGACCGTTTGTCGTTGCACTAGGTCCTCTTGGCGCCAGCTCACGGCCCTCTGACGCTGGGCGGATTGACGCCTGGCGACACCGCCGTCCGCGAGATGGCTCGCCCAGCCTCGCTGCTCCGTCCCGTCCGCCAGCGACGTCCGCTCCTCCCCGGCCTCGATCCCGTCATCGCCAGCGCCCGCGCCCCTTTCTAAGCTCCGCGCCAAGCGCCTCTGTCTCCAGCCAGCCCTTTCTCTGAGCTTCCTCGCTCATCCCCTGACTCCGGCTCCCAGGATCTGACTCCGCCTTTCACCTCCCCCTGGTCCTAACTCCCCACTGACCCGGCCTAAGACCTGCGGCCAGCAGCCACTGCCCTGCGGCGGGCGCCTCGGCCCCTCGCCCCCCACTCGCTCCACTGTCCCCACTTGTCCACCCGCCTGCTCTCCGCACCAGAGCCCGGAGGAAGCCCCCTCGCCCGGCTGATGGGTCTCAGCGCAAAGTCGCGCTCCCTGACCTCAGGTGGGCTCTTCGTGGGGCCCAGTGGCCATCCCGCATTTTCCTTGCCATGTCCTACTCCTGGCCCTGATAAGCATTTCGTGCCTTCTGTGCTCCTCAAACCCCAGCAGCCCTCCTCTTCCTCAATTGAGCTGGTGGCCTGACACCCTATGTCTGCGAGAAAGTTTGGGCACGCCCCTCCCCCACATTCGTGCACCTGCTACATCTGTGCCCTGTCACCGTGGAGGGCCAGCCCCAGCTCCTGCCTGGTGAGCCACAGCCCACCCCGCATCCCTGCACAAGGCGGAGCAGGAAGGGGTCCTCGGCCAGAGCCGAGCCAAGGACCCCAGAACAGGCTGCCCTTCCCCACTTCCCCGCAGGGCGTCCTGTCCGCAGGCGGAAGCTGCAGAGGCTGAGCTGGTGGTTTCCTGCCACGCGCCAGGCTCCGATGGCGCTGGACAGCTCCCAGGAGCAGAGTCCCTTGTTCTGGGGCGTCATTTGTTCTGGACTTAGAATGACCACAGCACTCCCCAGCTCCCTGGCTTTCTGAATACCGCTCCCCAGAAATTGTTTTTTTTTTTTTTTTAAATCCACGGCAGAAGCCACCAAAGGACAGTGCGGTGACAGGCCCCCAGACGCAGTTACGGCCTGGCATTCCAGAAACGTGCAGGGGCTGTGCCTGCGGCCAGCGCTCGGAAGGCCGGTCCGTAGCTGCCTGACGACGTCCATGGCCGTTCGCTGGCTCTCGTCCAGCTCTCGCCTGCACCTGCGACCCCCTCCCCTCGGAGACCAGTCCCGAGCAGCTCACTGAGCTCGCACTGACCTTCCAGAATGTGTTTGGCTGTCTGCACGCAGCGGAGGGCGGGGGAGCTGAAGACCGAGGCGATGTGGACACTGCTGTCCAGAAGCGCTTCCCCTGGGAAGAAAGCGGGGAGAATGCCTCTGCATGATTTTGGCCTCCCATGGCGGCAGCTCTGACCGCAAGTGGCCCCCAGATTTGCGCCCTCTGCTGTGCACCCTCAGTGAGCTCCCCCGGCGTGGGAGGAACCCACAAGCGTGGGGAGATGGCGCTCTGTTACGTTGTGCGGCAGAAGGGGGATTATCACAGGAGGCCCGGCCCGCGCAGGGAGCCCGTCAGAAGCAGAGGTTCCGTCCGGCCAGCACAGGACCAGAGGCAGTCAAAGGCAGAGGGATTCGACATGCGAGAACCCCACTGCTGGCCTCCAAGATTCAGGGGGCCGCGCGGCAAGGAACGTGGGTGGCCTTTCGGAACTGGGCGTGGCCCTGCGCTGACAGCGGCCGGGGAATCAGAACCCCTGTCCTACGACCGCCAGGAACTGACTTCTCCCACAGCCCGACGAGTCCGGAACGGCTTCCAGGAGCTTCCGGATGGGACTCAGCCCAGTGACACCCGGATTTCAGGCGTCAGGGCCTTGAGCAGGGGCCCCGGCCACACCGAGCCTGTGCTTCTGGCTCGCAGAACCGTTCATGGGGTTCATACCGCAGTGATGGAAACCGGCGGAGGCTATGGGAGCACACGCCTGTGAACCCCACTTCCTCTTGCACCATCGGAGGACCTGATCTTTGGGAAGGGAGGGGAGCTCTTCAGACTCAAAGCCACACGGCACCAAAGTTAGGAGCTTTTAGCTGATGCTGTCATGGGCTGAACTGTGTCCCCTAAAATCTATATGCAGAGTGTGATCTTATTTGGGGAGAGGGTCTTTGCAGAGGTGACCAAGTGAAGCTGAGCTCATTAGGATGGCTCTAACCCAGTCGGACACTGTCTCTATAGGAAGGAGAAGTCTGGACACAGGGACAGACACGCACAGAGGTGAAGTGAGGACTTGGGGAGAAGACAGCAGTGAACCAGCCAAGGACAGAGGCCTGGGGCAGATTCTCCCCCCGGCCTCCGAGGGCAGCAGCCCTGTGACGCCTCGATCTCTCCCAAATGGAGACAATAAACTTCTGTCGATGAAGCCACTCCGTCTGTGGCACTCTGTTAGGCCAGCCCCAGGGACGACTACAGAGGCTCCCACCCGCCCGCATGTGTCCCCGTTCACAGGTGCTCCGTGGGGGCTGCTCATGGTGACCCGTGGGAGTCAGCTCTCCCAGCCCCACGTTCAGTGACCTGGACACCGGCCCTGGTGTGAGCACAGTAGTTACACCACTGAAATCAGCAGGCGCTACGAATCAGGGCTGCCGGCCTGCTGGGAGAGCCGGGGCTACCCCCCAACCCCGCAGGCCCCCTGCCATGGGGCGAGGAGCCAGGAGCACAGGGCTCAGCGAGGTCCTTCACTGACCAGCCGTGTGGCTTAGGCAGACCGGGCGCCTTCTGACTCTGGACTCGAGTTGCTTAGTTCATGAAAGGAGGACCAGATGAACCGAATGGCCTCTTCTGTTCCCCGAAAGTCACTCACGTGGAGCCGGAGCCCCAGACGTAAAGCAAGGGCCTGGAGTGACGGATTTTGAAATAAAATCCGAGGGGGACGTGGTGTTTCACTTTTGAAGCGACATCGTTCGTGCTGACAGCGGTCGTGGTTTCCCTCCTCCCTCTCCGTCCTTCCCAGACCTCTCGCCCTCCCAACTCCCCCAGCTCCGCTCCTGGGTCACACCTCCGACCTTCCACTTCCCAGCTGGGTGACCCCGAGTGAGTCACTTAACCTCTCTGTGCCCCAGCTTCC